ATACAATTAACTAAATACAATAGTTATGTGTTACACAATTCAATGTAAATTATCTGACAGGACTTTGCTTACTTCAATGAGCGAAGCGTTCTTTTCTTCCCATTCCCAGACCATTCAAGTAATTTTGGACTCGATAATGGCCTTTGCTCATCAAAGTATATATATAAAAGCTATTCGTTGTATTAAATATTTATTAACTTATTCTATTTTCTACTTAGCACTCGACAAGAGTCACATACTACTTCAGCATTCATATTTAAAGGTATATCAACTTGCCTTACATTTGCTATTGGAATTTTACGAATTTAGTTTTGTTTGAATTCATCGAAATATTTTACTTATGCCTCTGTCAACTATAAAAACTAAAGAAGTATCGGAAGCAGATAGCACTTTATTACATGGAACCTTACTAACCAGCGAACACAAAATTTCACGAACGAACAAAAACGTAGTATTATTTAGGTACTAGTGGCCCGCCCTCGCTTCGCTTCGGTGTAGAGCTGTAGTGTAAACTATAGTTTTTGTTGTCAGGCTTGTGCTATAAACAATGACTTTATTTATAACACGTATTATTGTGAGTCAACCATATAAGATAGACATATAATAATAATAAATTATTTATTTGTTTCAACATGCTGTTGCGGGATATTTTTTAGACAAATTTATGTAGAATATTTCTGTCATACATGATTTCTATGTAACTTTAACCATTAAGGCTGCACACGCGACGGAAGCTTAAAAAATGAAGTAACTTCTCCCGTTTTCCCAACATTTCCCTTCACTACTCTGCTGCTATTGATTGTAGCGTGATGAAAAGTAGGTATACTATAACCTTCCCAGGAGTATGAAGAATAATTGTACCAATTTCGTTAAAATCCGTCGAGTAGTTTTTGTTTCTATAAGGAACATACACACAGACAGACAGACAAAAATTTTACTGATTGCTTTTTTGGCATCAGTATCGATCACTAATCACCCCCCTGGTAGTTACTTTGAAAATATATTTCATGTACAGAATTGACCTCTCTACAGATTTATTATAAATATAGATGGTGGAAATTCTTTCTCTAGAAAGGCGCTTTAGTTCGAGCGAAAAATTCCGGAATGCTCAACCTCTCTGATATTATTAATACTCTTGTTAACACTTAATTAAAGCTAATTAAGATTATGTTGAAGTACCTATGATTCCGTCCTATATCGAACTGCCAAGCGAATGGACTACGACCACACACATTTAAAAAATTAACTCAACGCAATCAATATTGAAATTTCAAAATACGTAGTTATTAGTAGCGAAATGTACGGTGAGCGGTTTAGATGAGAACCGGCAGAGGTGTGCTCTGCCAAGCAGGTCATCTGTCAAATATAACGAGCTAGAGAGAAGTTGACAGAGCGCCCCCTGCGCCCTACATCGGGGTAAATATAGGTTACCTTGATATATACCAGTTTGATTTTATGGTAACTTGTAAACTAAGACGATATTCTATATTCGAACGTTCTTCGCAACTGGTTTTTATCCAAATTCTCAATAAACGCGTCCGTCCGTACCGTATTCATCCTGTTTATAGTATCGACAATATACTCGAACATCAAACGCCTTCATAAAATAAAAAATTAAAAACTGTTCTAATATGAAAATTTATTATTATAAATATCAGCGATACTCGCTCAGCGATACTCGCTCAGCTATACTCGCTCGGTTAAGCTGGCTTGGCTGTCAAAAGCCATGCGCGTGCATTTTAACTCAGGACTGCCAATTCGTTTCTAGTTTCTACTCGCTTATCGTTCAACGTCGGAGGTGGAACATGTGCCTTAGATTACTGAGCCGTGTAATCATAACAGTTTCATAGGCAGTAATTTGTATTCATGTCTATGATAATAAAATCCTTTTGTTTAAACTTTATCTAATTTAACTTTATTTAACCAATTTCTGGAAAGTTGCATGTAGATCATTTTTCCAAAAAATAAGGCCATAAAGAAGTTTCACTTCTTACGTGTGTACACTAGTACACGCACACATTTTTTTTTATTATTTTAATATGTTCAGTGTTTGTTTGTTTATAGAAATTCTCAGGGGTGTCCGTCAATAATATTCGTTTCTACAGTAATTTATATATAATTACGAATCTAGGAAACAATTTTTCATGAATATTGGTCTTTAGGCCAAACATGTATGGAAGCTGAGCAATCTCCTTTATTGTGTTGTTAACCATTTAGATCTTAATCCGTCAAAGTGTATTGTTATCACTTATAGTCGTAAACAAATTTGATACTTTTTGATTATAAATTAAGAGGCTCAACATCGCAACGTGATGCTGACGCAAAGGACCTTGGTGTCCTTCATGACAATAAGCTCTTATTTGACACTCATATAGATAATATCATTAGTAAAGCTTCCAGGGCTCTTGGATTTGTGATGCGTAATTCCAGAGACTTCAAAAATGCAAAAAAAAATAAAGATTTTATATTGTTCATTTGTTCGAAGCCATCTGGAGTATGCGTCCCAGGTCTGGAACCCTCTGTATCTTACTTATATAACGCGAATTGAAAACATTCAGAGAAAATTCATCAAATATCTCTGTTTTCGCACCAAAGAGCACTATGATTCAAACCAATATTTATATTATTGTAAGAAACACCACTTGTTAACACTGCAAAAACGCCGCCAAATTGCAGATTTAGATTTTTATTAAAAATAGCTTCTGGTGCTATCGACTGCCCAGCACTACTGTCTAGGATTTCCCTTAAGGCTACAAAAAACCTACTTAGATTTAATCCCCTTATATGCGTTCCACAGGCAAGCTCAAACTCTAGAAAGAATTCGTATCTCTTGCGTGCAGGTAATAGTTTTAATGTTGTATTTGAGAAAACTGGCATTGATTTGATTTACACTAGCATTCCTTCACTGAGGCGGGTATTGAGCAGTGCATTTTTCGATGAATAGGTTTACAATGCTTTTTTGTTGTAATTGTTATGTTAAAAGTGTGCTTAATTATGTTGTAGTGTGTTTTTATTGGTGAAGACCTGTAATTGGCTTTCTGTTGCTATTTATGTTTTTATTATTTTTATTAATAGCTGTTGGTCTTCCAAAAATTAAACGAATAAACTGATATTTAAAATAAAACTAGTTTAAACGGATTAATGCACGTAACTTTATTTATTTATTGACGTTTCGCAGTCTTTCCAGGCTGCTTCGTCAGAACGTTATACACGCTTCTACTTTGGCAATACGAAAGTCAGATGATTGCCCAATTTGCATTCAGTCGAGTACGATCTCTTGCCGCTCTCTTGTAAATATTTTACATATTTCAGACAAAAAGTCCTACGTATGTTTTTAGATGGAACACACAATACACGGGAACTATTGGAGACTAGAAAAGCGTGTCATTTCATTTGTAGGTATAGTTTTTTGGGCACTTACACACATCCCAGAACGTTGAACTAACTTGACCTGACGTCACACTTTTTCGTGCGTGCAGCCGGTCTTATTGATTTATAAGACATTATCACGTCAAAAGAAGAACCACATCTTAAAATACCCGATATCCTACACCGGCATCCTAACTACAAGATCACGAGTTGTGTTCTTTAAGATAGAACATACATAGGTACATTCCGAGGTCGACACTCTTAATCGAAGTATTAACTCGTAAGTCCATTGCGCCATCGCCGCCATCAAAATAAAGAATGGACTGTAGGCCACTCGTGTGAAATTGACATCTCCTTAAAAAGAGAGAAAGAGATGGTACCAATACCTAGATGAATTAGTGGCCGCACGATCGCTTCGTCTTTCTCATACTTGTCTGCTCAGTTTTACTCGACAGGGAACGCCAAAGAGCAACATGCTTGGGCGTCTCCGCCGTGTTGCGCTATGGTGAAAGTAAAGGCGGTCATACATTTCATTTGGTGATAATGGATTTTACGGCGGCATGACTACTATGCTCTATTAAGCTCGCCAGATCAAGAAATGCAGCAGGTAGAAATCATACAAAGCAATCTTTGAGCTTCGCGCTAGCCCTAAGTCTGAACCCTGGATACGTCACTGCGTGAAATTTCGTTTTGATTGTATTGTGTTGATGAGACATCATTATTATCATCATCAGCATATTAATTTCCCCTCTGCTTGGGCTCAGGTCTTCCTCGTGGATGAAATAGGGAGATTGGATCGTAAACCACCACGCGGGCTCAGTGTGGATTGGTGGGTGCTAACGACTCAGATGCAGCTAGGACCAATGTATTAACATACCTTCACGGAGGAGATAGAGAAGTCTCTCGAAAAACTCGTTAATTTTCCGCGATCGCATCACCTACCGCTTGACTCAGGTACTCACCGGACATGGTTGTTTCGGTGAGTATCTGAGTCGAATAGGGAGGGAGGACACGGCACAATGTCACCACTGCGCATCCGAACTAGACTCGGCCCAGCATACGCTGGCGGATTGTCCCGCTTGGGACTCCGAACGCCGAGTCTTGGTCGGAAAAATCGGGCAGGATCTGTCTCCGCCAGCATTGATTGCGGCAATGCTTGCGGATGAGGGAGGTTGGAAGGCTGCGGCCTCCTACTGTGAAGCGGTGATGCTCCAGAAGGAGGCCGCCGAGCGGGTGCGGGAGATGGCCGATAATGGCCTGATGTGCCGCCGCGGGTCGCTGGTGAGCACGACGGAGCTTGTGCTCATGAAAGCGACCTGGGAGGGACGACACCCCCGCATGGCCGGGGTATAGGAGGGTGGATGGGGGAGGTTGCGAACACTCCCCCGAGAAGGGCTCCCCTGGAGGAAACAGGGGAACAAAGGCTGCGGGTCCTCCATGCGATACTCGATCCTGAGGCCCCGTACAACGCCTGATGGCGGCCATCGCTGGGTTTTAGTGGGTAGGCCTCCCCCTTCTGGGGAGGAGGAGTAACCACCATGTGGTATGCAATTTAATGCTTTTCCCCAGCGTACCAAAAAAAAAGGTCGAACGCGTCATCAAACTCTTCACATGATGAGATGTTGTTGCAGGTCGCGGATGGTGGTGCGCCGACGGGGAGGTGGTGTCGGTGACGGCGGGCGCGGGCGCGAGCTCGGGCCCTGAGTTCCTTCCCACGGACACGACGCTGGTGGCAGCCGTCGGGCAAGACGCGGTGCTCGACTGCCGCGTCCGTAACCTCGCTGATAAAGCCGTAAGTTAAGTCATGAACTGACCGTAATATGTGGGTGACACTTTATTATATCTTCATAAAAGGAGAAGCCTTACCCAAGAACCATCTTTCCACTGCTTAGTATCTTTTCTATTGCACCTCAATTGTTGTAATCTCGGGCAGACTGCATTCATCTCGCTACGGCCATCAACGGTACGGTCATTCGTTGTAATGATACTGGGCTGGTTGACACTCTTCGTTTCTACGACCGGTACTCTGTTTCCTTTCTGTTCACACGGGCCATCTTCGCATCTGCATGTCCCACCCATTTCCATATCCTGCGAAAAATTACAAAAACGATGTCAGGTAATTTTGCATTTCCCTAATGACCGCTGAAAAACTTATAAATAACAGGGAGGTGTAATATGTAATCTTAAGCCGTCGATAAGCGAGCCCTTGATCTTAAATGAGCTAAAGAAATACAGCACTTTTTCGAATTTCTTTTAACTGATATTAACTTAAAGCAGAAGAGAAGGTTATATAGGTTAAGAGAAGGTATTTTGGACTAAGCAATTTGGATGAAAGCTGAATGATAATAACCAAAACATCTTGTGAATGAAATTCGTGTCAGAGGAAGAGCTTTTGGTACAAAAATATAAATGTGATTTATTAGAATCCGGTTGTATATGATAGCTAGGAGTGAGAGAAGCCGTCGCTATTTTTGCGATGGGAAAAAGACGCCACCCACCGTTACTCATCGTATTCTAAATTAAAAGTTTGAGATCACTGTAAACAATTTCAGATCACGCCCAAAATGTCAGCCGGTGAGATGAATTGAGTATGGTGACTGTTAATGGCGCGGAATATTTTCTGCGGTTGCAATCAAAGCGAACATAAGATAAAATTATTTTTATTTTGGTATTTGTATTGTAAGTTTGTCTTATTTGTAGGCGTGGCTGTAACATTAACAAATATCTGTGACTCGTCATCATTTCCTAAAAATGCAATATGCTCAATATGTAAGTTATACCATTTAAATAATGTGTTTTTATTCAAAAGATAAACATTCCTGTAAAATATAAGTCTTATAAATTATATATCAAATCACAAAGAAAACAAACAGTTTCATGAAATGTATAGGAAGATAAAATGAAATGTAGTTTTCACAAAAAAACAAAAACAAAATAAGAATGACGAAAAAAGATTTGCTTAACTACTTGTTCATGTTAATCATTAAGTTTTTTAATTATCTCAAAAATTTGGATCAGTACATTCTTGCAGAGTAACGTTTAGGAGCTCAGGGTATACATTGTTGAGATGTTTATTTTGCGCTTGAAAACTCCTTTGTAGTCCGATGAAAATCTTCTAACAGAATCTGTTACCAAGCGTGTAATCTCCGAATTTCGTGATGATTTCATAAAAGTTAGTAGTGACAAAAGTCCTTGGAAAAAAGCTTTGGAATGCCCGCTATGTTGACACTCCGCTGTGGCTCGCGTGCTCGCGTCACAGCTCCCAGCGACGCAGCTGACGCGGGCGCGGTCACTGACTCGCGAACTAGAATTAGCGAACGGCACGCGCCCACCGCTCGCTGCGCACGCGCTGCCCGGAAGTTGCGGCTGCCAAATACTATACGATCGCGATATTGCGCCCTTTGGTAAATAATAATAAAGTCAAGAACGCGTATGTGTGGGTGGGTGTAAGCCGAATGTTGCTCGTGATTCTATCCCAAAATTTTTATGAGTTAATTTAAAGAACGACGATTTATTGGCGGAATTAAATGTGAACCGCGCGCGCTGCTCTATTTTTGAGCGGAGAGTCTATTCATGACGCAGAAAAGAAATATGCGTGAGAACTAAATGATACTAGAAATGAAGTTAGAACAGTGAATTTATTTGACGAATATTAAAATGAAGCAAAGACGAGCTCTTTAGCTCGATGGCGCACTCGCATTTGGTCTTGGTTTGTGCGTTAAGTGGAAAGTTAAGCAATTTTCGCAGGGGCCGGTCATAGGATCTCCTTCTGCGAGGATGTCATCTCGCAGCAGAAGGGAGAGGGGGAGGAGAGGCAGGAGAGGCAGGAGAGGCAGGCACACACTGGCGCATCTTCAGATATTGAAGTTGCTACAGCTTTCGAAAATTTCTTTACTGATATTCCAGTTTCAACTACTAAATCTTTGAACACTTCCCCCATTGCTGCCGAATCAATCTTAAGAGAAAACGTGAAACCTTGTACTAGTCATTTTCATTTTAAACATGTTGATTTTAAAGATGTAATTAAAACGATTCACCAATTAAATAAAAAGAAAACCGCGGATCTGTGGGGCAATTCCGTTGATGTTTCTAAATCGGTAATTAAGATAATAGTTCCTATTCTAGCTTGCATATTGAATGATAGTGTTGACTGTGGGGGTTTTCCTAACCTCATGAAATACAGTAAAATAACTCCTTTGCATAAAACGGGAAGTATATCAGACCCCACAAACTTAAGACCAATTTCTGTGCTACCCACCTTTCGTAAAAATTTCGAAAAAATCATGTTAGATCCAATGCAATCACAATTTAATAAATATTATATACTTCACTGTAAACTATTTGGTTTTACACGGGGTCGTTCAACAACCGATGCCGGTGTTCAACTTATACAACAAATTTTTGACGCCTGGGAGAACTCGCAGGACGCTCTAAGTGTGTTTTGCGACTTGTCAAGGCTTTTGATTGCGTTTTTCATGAAACATTACTCAGGAAACTCCACCACTATGAATTTAGAGATACTGATCTGGATCTTATTGCGTCATATCTGATAGATAGGATTCAGAGGGTTGACATTAATGGTAATAAGTCTCCGGGTTCGCCGGTTAAGATGGGTGTTCCGCTGGGCTCAATGCTTGGTCCTTTCTTATTTTTAATTTATATTTATGAGATAGTATTGTTCGCGGATGATTTTTTATGTAACATCACTTTTATTTATATAGAAGACTCAGAAGTACGCCGGGTGACCGGTGCAGGAGTAATGGCTGGTTTTTAGTGGCCCTGTTCAGGGTCTTAGGTAGGGCCCTGCTCATTTCAGCCAGCCCTTAGGCCGGGTCCCACACACCTTCCTCTCGCTCCCCCGGTGGTCGAAGGATGCGTAAAGTATTTCCCAGACATAAAAAAGGGGGCGGTCATAGGATGGGTGACCAGAATTTTGTCACGTCGAGCCCCTCCATACTTCGTAAGGCAGTTGATTTCGACTGCACCTGCTGTTGGGTCTTGACAGCTTCGAGAGATTAAGTTAGGCCTATTGTTTCTTTTCAATAAGTAAAATATTTTTTGTTGTTATGCTAATGATTTTAATGATACGTGTTCTAATTTTGTAGGTATCATGGGTGCGGTCGAGGGACCTGCATATCTTGTCGCACGCCGGCGCGGTGTTCACAGCGGACGCGCGCGTGTCCGTGCGGGTGTCGGGCGCGGGTGCGACCATACACTCGCTCCGCATCCGCCGCCTGCGCGTGTCGGACGCGGGCCGCTACGAGTGCCAGCTCAACACAGACCCTAAAATGAGCCTCTTCTATAACCTCACTGTCCTTGGTGAGTCGCTGGATCTGTTACAGCTTTTTATTGTTACGTGGATGGCGCTTTAATTTAGCAAAGTTGACAACATAGTGTGGCACAAGGGCGGATCCAGCTTTGGCACAAGGGGGGGGGGGGGGTCATATAGTCGTGATCAAGTCACAGTAGGTACAGATTGCGAAGTACAGATTGTGAAGTACAGATTGTGAAGTGGGTACAGATGGACCCAGCCTTGGGGGGGGGTCATGACCCCCATGACCACCCCCCCCTCCCCCTTCTGGATCCGCCCTTGGGTGCCAACACAATGTTTTTCTGACAGTGGTCTGTGCGGAGTGGTGTCCTGTGGTCTCTCATTAAAATGAAAGAGTACCAAAGTTACAGAACTGATTGAAAGGGACAGCGTTTATTCTGTTGCTCCTGCTCTATAGTGCGATTCATACTATATACAGTGAGCAAACGAAATGTGCGCTCGGGGTTTCCCTCATCTTTCAGTTAACTGCAACTGCATTCACTGCAAACTTAATAAGCGCCACAAACTTATTCTCACACTATATTTGTACAGTATAAGCGTACATCTTGCGAAGTCACGTTTCACGTTTCCATACCGATCGCGGCGGGCGCGCACTCATCTCTCAATAATTCAAATAAAATAGTATCAGTTTTTATGTAGTAATAAATGGTTTGGATAATTATATCATCTTTTACATTTCATATCAACTCTAGTTGCACCAGACAATATTATAACCGAACACTGTTTTATAGACGAGCCCGTGCCGGTGGCGGTGATAGCCGCGGGGGCGGCGGAGTTGCACGGCGCGGTGGGCGCGGCGGTGACGCTGCGCTGCGAGGCGCGCTACGAGCCGCCGCCGCGCGCGCTGCCGCTGCCGCCGCTCGACATACTGTGGACCAAGGACGGGGTGCCTGTAGATCACCAGGTAACGGTGACGCTGCGCTGCGAGGCGCGCTACGAGCCGCCGCCGCGCGCGCTGCCGCTGCCGCCGCTCGACATACTGTGGACCAAGGACGGGGTGCCTGTAGATCACCAGGTAACGGTGACGCTGCGCTGCGAGGCGCGCTACGAGCCGCCGCCGCGCGCGCTGCCGCTGCCGCCGCTCGACATACTGTGGACCAAGGACGGGGTGCCTGTAGATCACCAGGTAACGGTGACGCTGCGCTGCGAGGCGCGCTACGAGCCGCCGCCGCGCGCGCTGCCGCTGCCGCCGCTCGACATACTGTGGACCAAGGACGGGGTGCCTGTAGATCACCAGGTAACGGTGACGCTGCGCTGCGAGGCGCGCTACGAGCCGCCGCCGCGCGCGCTGCCGCTGCCGCCGCTCGACATACTGTGGACCAAGGACGGGGTGCCTGTAGATCACCAGGTAACGGTGACGCTGCGCTGCGAGGCGCGCTACGAGCCGCCGCCGCGCGCGCTGCCGCTGCCGCCGCTCGACATACTGTGGACCAAGGACGGGGTGCCTGTAGATCACCAGGTAACGGTGACGCTGCGCTGCGAGGCGCGCTACGAGCCGCCGCCGCGCGCGCTGCCGCTGCCGCCGCTCGACATACTGTGGACCAAGGACGGGGTGCCTGTAGATCACCAGGTAACGGTGACGCTGCGCTGCGAGGCGCGCTACGAGCCGCCGCCGCGCGCGCTGCCGCTGCCGCCGCTCGACATACTGTGGACCAAGGACGGGGTGCCTGTAGATCACCAGGTAACGGTGACGCTGCGCTGCGAGGCGCGCTACGAGCCGCCGCCGCGCGCGCTGCCGCTGCCGCCGCTCGACATACTGTGGACCAAGGACGGGGTGCCTGTAGATCACCAGGTAACGGTGACGCTGCGCTGCGAGGCGCGCTACGAGCCCCCTTCCACTGCCGCAGAGTGCATGTCTGATTGTAGCTAACATTAGCCACCCATAGTCATACATATCAACGCCCTAGCTAGATACAACCTGATATTACAAAATACACATAACAGAAGGTCGAGCACTGCACTGTGACACCGCTCACGGACACGATATCTCTAACCACTGCGAACGCGAGGGTCATCCGCTTGAAACACGCGTCTGTGAACTTTTTTGAGCAAAAATGAAAGAATAAAAAACAATGTATATATATCTGTTCAGAAGACGGTTTTTTGGATCCAAAATATTAAGCAGTGTTTTGTATTTTTTTTATTTTATAATTAGACATGTTCAGTGAATCAAAACTCAAAACGACAGTACTGAAAATCTGTGAGTTTTATCAACTGCAAATTATTTAATTATTTATTTGTAAAATGTGGTTGCGGTTGCGGTTCCTTAATTATTACTCCGACCTAAAATGGGTGCAAAATTTCAAATCAAATACATTTTATTCAGGGTGATATTTACTAACAGAAATATTTATTAAAATATAAGAGCTTTGAAATCGGTTAACCATAAGAAATGATTAATTATATGCATAATGTGTACACGCATCAATGCTGTTTAAAATTCAAAGATTAAGGTAAAAAAAATATTTAATTAAAAAAACACACACACATAATAATTTCTACGCAGTGTTTGCCTGTTGTTACCACAATATATTTGAGCAGCGGTCTTTATTTTGTATATTGGAAATCAGAATGACCAATTTAATCTAAAGGAATGTTAGCAATCATTCCACGTTGACCAGGGGGCCATTCGCCTTACGGAAATGCTTTGGAAACCGCTAACGCTTACGATTTCATTTTGTTATTTCTAGCCGCCTGAGGTTTTCAAATGCCTCGCGAACTTTTTTTTTCTTTTGCATTGGTAATAACAATATTAAAGAAAATGAGCGTGAGGTATTTGAAAACCTTCGGCGGTCAGAAATAACAAAATGAAATCGAAAGGGTTAGCGTTTTCCTAAGCATTTCCGTTAGGCGAATGGCCCTCAGGCAGCAGACGGGACTCGAACCCGCATCCTTCACTAACCCGGCGAATGCACTGACCATTATGCTACCCCGGCCCTGATGGCCGTGTCGAATTTTCTCTAACCTTTCTTAGGTTGCAAGGCAGCGTAAAAAAAATCTTTAGATTTAAACATTTGGCAGTTAAATGCTTAAACAATAAAAATATAACTAAGACCAATTAATATCAATCTATGTATCTCAATTAAAATATCTAAATCAAATTTTTTATGTAGGGAGAAATTTTCTTTAACCAAAGTTGAACGACCATTACTCTTCATAAATGAATACTCGTAAGATAGCGCCTGTCTCCATGTCGCGACGTCGGCAACGTGCAACGGTACGGTAACGCGGCATAGTGCGTTGTCATTACGTGCAAATTTAGGTTTGCTCGTTATGTCAACGTACCATGCAACGTTACCGCACCATTCCGAGTCGACGACGTCGGGGCACACGGGCGATTGATTAGTAACGGTCCTCGTTTCTGCAGCGTGGCCACAGCGGAGTGTCGCGCGACACGGAGCGGTGGTCGTGGCGCTCGGTGTCGCGGCTGACGCTGGCCGAGCTGATGCCCTCCGACGCGGGCGTGTATGCCTGCGCCACTGCCACGCCTAACGCCACACCTATCGCAGTCGCCGCGCCTGCCGCTGTCGACTACGTGCACCTTTATGTCGACGCTGGTAAGTCCGGGGTCTAACGGCCGCACGCAGCGACGTTATGGCGGTGTGTCGCCGTCCCCGCTGCCGCTCCCGCCTCCGCTGCCGCAATCGCCGCGCCTGCCGCTGTCGACTACGTGCACCTTTATGCATACCTACATATCGATTTTCACTATGTCGCGTTCTCCGATGTTCCGAGTTCGAATACCGTTTCCAAGGCATATGTTTATAACAAGAATCGACGACGACGAACACCTAAACCTTAATGGCTCTTTACATATTCCTACAAAAATATTCTTATATGAGGATTAATGAAATATGTATTTTTACCAGTTAGTCTTTTGCTAATATCCCGCAACAAAGAACTGATAGAGGGTTTGGGCAGGATGTGTTATACCTTATTCGATGAATATATAGCATAAATTTTGAATAAAGTTCAAAGTATTGTTGTCTTAAGTCCAAATAAAATACGATTGATAGTGTAATTTTCTACTCAATTTGAAGTGTTCCTCTGAGCTCAGCTCCGATGTAGTAAAATTGGTTAGATATTTTGTACCTAAACTAAGGTCAGACTTCAGAGTATTTCTATTGATAAACTATAATTGCTAAGAAGTAAAAAAATCCATTAAGAACGTGCCTCTACCAAACAGTACCCGAAGGCGATGGTAATTTACTCGGTGACACATCGGGGATTTCTATTACAGGAGGTTATTTATTTAATTCACAAAACCACAGCAAAAGAAAGAAATACTCACTCACCGTTATTTTTATTCTTGGTGTCGTGTGTGTGCGGACGAAGCGGTCTTTTGTGTTTATTATCTGAACGATTGTGTCATGAAAAGAGCCTTCTTAGGTCTTCGTCCTAAAAATTGTACAGGGAGATAAAAATGATACGAAAATGTGGTCTTATACGTTGTTGCTACAAGCTCATTACGAAAATTTCAAAATCTAAATATTTTTTGCAATAGGGTATTTGACAAGTTTTAAAAGACGATCTCACGTTATTTATTAACGTTTATAGAGTCCATAAAAAGATGGATATTCATCATAATGTTGTGTATTTGGTAAAAAAACCAAATCAAAAACTCTATTTTCAAGTTGCCGCGAAAAACGTATCTCTGGACAATATGGCGATTCACACGACTGTCATTATAACGTCAAACCATACAATCAAATGTCACTTTAACCGGAAGTTTACTTGCGTGTGGCGTCATTTAAGGCTTCACCAATCCTAAACGTTTTGGGTCAAGTGACAATAGACAAGAAAACTATTATCTTTATCGTGGGTTTTTAGTAAAATTATGAATATTTTTTCTGTAAAAATAGTAAAAACCGCCTGCCAATATTCATTCTAAATACAGATGCTAACAATTGGCACTTTATTTTTAATACTGTCAAATACCCTATTGTACTCTATTGCTTTTAATGTTATAAATCCAGCAGCACCAAAACATAGCGATATTTCACTATGGTCATCTTTTAAGTGCTGGTGGTGGAGGTAATTTCTCCCGTCACTGAAACCCGCCATGTTCTCAAAATATGTCCCAAATCAAATGTTTGTGTCTTGAATATTCTAAATTGCATTTTTCATGCTTCGGATAATCAAAATTTTGTTTGTCCTCTCTTTTCAGAGAGTCAGATGGAAGCTATGCAACGTGACCAGTCTGTCGACAACGGCGGTGCACGCGCGCGCACAAGTTGTGCGGCGATCAAACGATACCTCCTCCTCTTATTACTATACAAGCTCCTGGGAAAGTGACATTAGGACGATAGTACTCTCTCCTGCATCATAAAGGAAGAGTGCGATTCAATCGTTCACTTAATATAACAATAAAAACTGTGTAAATAGTAGTAATAACTTTGCAGCACATTCAAGATTCCAAGTTGTGACCGGATCTCCGTTTCTGTATATTTTGCAACACTTTTGTAAATATTTTTTTGTATATAATAATAAATATAGAGGTTAATTTTACTACAGTAGAGTCAGCGGTAATAAATAGTGTGTTGGAGATGTTTATATGTGTATTTTTATTTCGATACGGGATGTTGGCGTGGGTTGCGCGCGCGCGGCACGCGACGCGGTGACGCCTGCGACGAACTGAGTCCGTTGGCCAGAGTACCCTATAACGTATACAAAATTAGAACAAATTAGAAGTGGGAGAAAATAGACGACCTACAATGCCTACAAATGAACATAAATATTATTATTCCATTCGTGAAACCACACTACGTAATGCACTCAACTTTACAAGCAAGAATGGTGAGTGAGAACATTGCTTCCGGAGAATAGTAACGCTAGATATTATTGCAGGTAAAGAAGGGTTTATTCAATAGATTTTTTCTCCTTCCCTCTGTAATGACGGATGCTCGTACATTTTCGTGAAAAGAGATAGGTCCATAAAATTGAGATCAGTGGATGGTAAGAAAAAAATATTCGACGATTCAAAAGGGGTTTCAATTAATCATTTAGAAAAAAGTATATTTTCATTTTATAAATCTTTATTTAAAATTTTACTAGCTGTTAACTTTACTGTATTTTTCTAGTGTTTCTGATAATAGGGTTTTTGACAGTGTTAAAAATAAAGTGCCAATTGTTAGTATCTGTGTTTAGAATGAATATTGGCAGGAGTTTTTACTATTTTTACAAAAAAAAATATAATTTTACTAAAAACTAACGAAAAAGATAATAGTTTTCTTATCTTTTGTCACGTGACCCAAAACGCTTGGGATTGGCGGAGCCTAAAATGACGTCACACGCAAGTAAACTTCCGGTTAAAATGACATTACATTGTATCTAAATCTAAAGAAAAGTTTACTAGAAAAAATCCACGCGGACCAGGCAGTGGACAGGACTCGAACCCGCATCCTTCGCTATCCGGGCGAATGCACTGACCATTATGCTACCACGGCCCTATTAGCCGCGTCGAAATTTTCCTAGCTTTAAGCTGCAAGGCAGCGCCATCTCTTCGCATTGTAGGTAATCCACAATGTCAAATGAATACTTTTTCAAGTATTAAACATTTGAAAGAAGAAATAGCAATTATAGTTATGATTTTATTTATTTTTTAAGCATTTAACTGCTAGATGTTTAAATCTAAAGAAAAGTTTACTAGAAAAAAAGAGATGGCGCTGCCTTGCAGCTTAAAACTAGGAAAATTTCGACGCGGCTAATAGGGCCGTGGTAGCATAATGGTCAGTGCATTCGCCCGGATAGCGAAGGATGCGGGTTCGAGTCCTGTCCACTGCCTGGTCCGCGTGGATTTTTTCGAATTTATACTTCTTTAGGCGCGTTATGAAAAAATGATGAGAGTGAAATTTTAAGATGCGCGCGCATCACTGTAACACAAAATTTTAACAGCATGAAGTTGGTCGCTTTAGCGACCAACTTCATGCGTTACTTTTGTGTTTACCGCACATTAAGAAAATCTACCAACAAAATAGAAATAGAATCTCTATTTAGTGGGTGCTAACGACTGCATTGTGAAAGCCTATCAAAAGTATTTATTAATCTGGAACAACGGAACCAAAGCGCGATTCAGGAGACTACAGCGCCATCTCTTGACCATTGGTGTAGTAGAACCAAAAACCACATCTTTATTTTTTGTAATAAAGTAACAGTTATAGGTATTCATATTTATAATATTTATCCACATGTTTCTAGTTTGTATATTCGGAATACGTGTTTGAGTTTCATACAAGTGCAAATCACATATGTTCTAATAAATTATATTCAGTAGCGATTTTAATTGAATATTTTGATTATTTATTTATTTTTTCAATTTAAAACTGAACTTTATTGACTGTGTCCTTTTCCAGACTTTTTATTAATTTATTGTAATTAATTATTTGCATGCAATTAAAAACTAATTTTAAACGATGCCAAAGAAGGATAACTTCTCACGCGCCTACATAAGTACACGCACCCGTTTTTTCCTAGTAAACTTTTCTTTAGATTTAAACATCTAGCAGTTAAATGCTTAAAAAATAAATAAAATCATAATTACATTGTATCGTTTGACGTTTTAATAACAGTCGTGTGACGTCACACACTAGCAAGACGCCACATTGTCCAGAGAAACGTTTTCGCGGCAACATGAAAATGGAGTTTTTGATTTGGTTATTTTTACTGAAATACACAACAGAATGATGAATATCCAATTTTTACGAACTCCATAAACATTAGTCAATAACGTGAGATCGTTTTCTAAAACTTGTCAAATACCCTGTTATCATTACTATAGTTGATAGTAAAAAAATATATTAAATCGGCCAAAACTCCACGCGAGCAACACTTCCCACACACCGCATTAGTGGATCGGCCTTAGACGCAGAATCTCGCATGGGATCAGCGCAATAGATCCATCCACGTTGACTCCGCATTATCATTTGTTTATTGAAGTAGCTCGGCACGCGCGCGCGCACAGAAATAGCCAACATTAACAGAACTACATCAAATGGGCGTAAATATCGTAGAATTGGGCAGTTTCGTGAGTATCCCAGGCAGTGCCGCGCCGCCTCGCCCCGCCCGGGTTTAAATATAGGCAACTAACTCGGTTTAAACACACACTTTTACGTGACGATCGCACGAATGAATGGCTCAAATTAACACCGATGCCGGCGCTTTATTATAATTATATTATCAGAAGCGTGATCCTTTGAGTATCTATTCAACGTGAAAGTAACATTATTTAATTATTATTTTTGAAAACAAAACGGACGTTTATTCTATGTGATGTGTATGTGTATTGTTATGCTTATTTTATATAGGTCGTAGGATTATTTTATCATTAGATTAGACTAGCAAACCAGTGAACCAAATGTTCACCAAAACCTGATTTAAAAAAAAATGTATTTAATTAATTGAGAACTTCGGAGATTTTGTGTGGTTTCGTTTGAAATTCGTGATTTCTCGAAAACCGGAAGTGCTACGTTACTCAAATCCGGTTTGTAGTCTTATCAGACTATTCTTAACTTATAACTTAAATATTCTCTTTATCTATCTCTTACGGTTTGGCCGCTGAAACAGCACCACAGACAGACAGACGGACGGACTTGTCTAATAGATAAGAGATTATACCTTAGTGTTATACAATCGTTAATAAATGGACAAATTACAAAGAAAACTTTCTACAAAGTGCAGAAATGGCAAATTATTTAATTTGCTTCTCTCATTATAGGGGTAATATCAATGGTGTTATATTCAACAATGTATTTTTAGGGCCCCTTGAATCCACGGGGGCCTGGGCTGAAGCCCAAAAAGCCATATGGTAGATCCTGTATGTGTATGTCTATTGTTTTGCTTATTTTATATAGGTCGTAGGATTATTTTATAATTAGATTAGATTATTCGGATGATTAGAAAATATAATACAATAACAATAACTTCTCAGTATGACTGAGAAAGATAGGATTTCTTTTACTTTTCTCATGATGATATACTGTTTACATTTACGGATAATGGTACTTACGTAGTAAACAACCAAGAGTAATAGAAATCACCATTGGTTGTTAATAGACATGAATCAATCGTGTTATTAGTTATATCCTAATAGTTTTAAGATAAAATCTCCAGCTATTTGGTGGGATATATAGATAATCATATTTTTGAGAGTGGCAGAGAAAATAAACAGACGTGACAAGTAAAGTAGTCTTTAAATTCATAATATGACATACCCTTCGAGGAGTTCGATGGCGCAAGTGGTTAGCGCGTTCGGTTGCGATCGTTGAAGTTAAGCAACTTTCGCAGTGGTCGGTCATTGGATGGGTGACCAAAAATTTATTATCTCGAGTTCCTCCGTGCTTCGGAAAGCACGCTAAGCCGTTGGTCCCGGCTGCATCTGCAGTCGTTAGCACCCGCCAATCCGCACTGGGCCCGCGTGGTGGGTCATGGCCCAATCTCCCTATTCCATCCATAGGGAAGGCCTGCGCCCCAGCAGTGGGAACATTAATAGGATGATGATGATGATGATACCCTTCGCATTTGCTTTATTGAGACGCTAGTAGCTAATAGTGGCTAGAAAGTTGTCAATGATAACCAAAGTAGGTTTATCCAAATTGAATACTTAATATTTGACAATGTGCATAACATGCAGTGTCAGATATTCCTAATGTTGCCAGCTGCGAATTAGTATTTAGGATTGCGAACACTTGGCAGCTCGAGTCACGTTTGATAAACGATCTCTGTTGATAATTGCACATTTGCAAACGTTATGTAAGCTTGTGTGCGAGAACTACTCGCTTAGTTTGAGAGGCGGCCGGCGCCCGCTGCCACCGAAGCTGCGCTGTTGTTACTTGTGCCGTGAAGTTGTGCAACTATTTGCACAGGATCTGTTGTATCAGCGCTGCAATTCTGTTAGTTAACTGCTACAATGATATAGAACCACTTGCCAGATTTCGTAAAAGTTCTTCAATGTCCACGTGACATTGTCAAAACTGTAAAAGAAGACAGCTGCATTTTTCATATTTTACAAAAATACATCATTTGTGAAAATTTCAACTGTCTAGCAATCATACTTCATGATATACACCTGGTGCCATACTGACAGACAGACGGACAGTGGAGTCTTTAGTAATAGGGTTCCGTTACACCCTTTGGGTACGGAATCCTAAAAAAACATTCAATTGCCGTAGAAATAAAAACCTATTTATTTAGTTAATTATATAGCTTAAAATTTTCTTTACATTTAAACACATATTATAACCTATTTATTTAGTTTTCCACCGACCAATAATTCTCAAACGATATAAATGTATCATTAG